CAAGATGCAGAGCTGTGTTGTACTACGGACTATACAGTGCTTCTGTTTCCTTTTTCTCTTTATGATAGGACTTTTCCTTTGTTGTTTTTGGAGGGGGAAAGAAGACAGGGAATTGAGATTATAGTACATCACCAAGTGTGGTATCTGCCGCCAGGAGAGTTTTGATGGGTAAATGCCCTCTCCTGTTAATCCTATCATTTTATGATCACTTGTTGCCTAGAATAGAGTAACAAGCATTGCAAAAACATTCTTATGGTCAGAAATGCAGATTTTTTCCTCATTCTGAAGGCACTTTAAATTTGTGTTTCATGTCAAATATTCAGTGGCTGTTACAAACTTGTCAAAATTCCAATAAATAAATTCCAACAATAAACACTCCTCTAATAATGAACACTACCAATTACAGCCCTCACTCGATCTTTGTGTATTACATGGACCAAAGTTGGGGAGATAAGAAAATCTAAGTACTGTAATTTGCTTTGCTTTGAAAACACAAATGTGCTCCAGAAAAGAGAACTGATTGACTGTATTTTTGCCCCAAAATATATTTCTGTGAAGCAATTTGAGACTTCTCAACGACGTAATAAGTCGCTATATCAAATGCAAGGATTATTATTAACAGCGGATAAGATAATAGTGGAGGCAACATGACTTTATGACGACGATAATAATCCACATCCACTTAGTAACCATATTTTTTAAAAAACTTGACTTTCCGCCATAATCATGTCAGGAAGCAAATAGCAGATATGACAGGGAAACGGTGTCATGCATGACTTTCTAATAGCTGTTGGGAATGTGAAGAAAGGCAGGAGAAAGGAACCCATAACTCTGCTGCGATAGGATCAGTACATCAAACCCAGATCGTATCAGTTCGCCTAACAGCAGCACAAAAGAACAATCTCCGCCAGCTCTCACCACACTCCTTTCCAACCCTCTGAAGCAAGTTTTCCTTCTGGAAACTAGGCTAGACTTAACCCTTTTAATAACCGATTGAAGCTATTTAGCTTTTGCTATCCAGAGGTAGAGTAAAACCTATTTAGTTGCAAAAAATAAACTGGAGCAAGGTGTTACAGTGTTTAGACCAGGAGGTTATTGTCATTTCTGCAACACTTCGAATTGACCTAATTGTAACAACAATGTTGTAAACATGTAATTGTCACAAAGTTGTTTATTTAACGTAACTGTAACAAATCGGTAAATGTGAGGTAATTTGTAAATAAACTATAATTGGAGAAAAATGAGAACAGGAATCTGCACAAAGTAAAACTTTGTTCCTAGTGTGAAATAAAGAACAGTGTAATTATAACAACAATCCTTGCATTTAATATAGCGCCTTATCAAGTCTTCGAGACATCTCAAAACGCTTCACAGAATATATTGTGAAGTGAATTGACTGTATATTTTGTGGCTGAAACACGGCAGTCTATAGCGCACAGCAGTGTCCCACACACAGTCTTAATTGGAACAAATCTGCTCATAGTTTAGGCTTTTGGATAACTACCAACTGATCATTCATCTGATTAACATTGTATAGGTGCCCGGCAAGTTTGCTTATAGAGTTTGTTGGTTAACAGGTTTGATCTCCGGTCTCTGAGTTAGCTGATCTCAAACATGGTGGCCAGCTCCACAATTAGCGTCAGTGCTGCTGGGCTAGAAAGGGAAAAGCCAGAGTTCGCAATCCCGACTCCCTGCTGAAAGGCTATGTGGATGTTGGTGAGGACAAAATCATGCTTAGCTGTGATTATAACCCCACAATTTACAGACATGAAAATTGCAGCTGTAAAACACAAGAACAACTGCCATAGCAGAACCTTGAATGAACAACCGCTGTGATACACTTGGATGGTGTACCTTTTCCATGATCTACTTATCAATTTCATGGCAGCTTAACGTGACACGTTAATAGCTCGACTGCCTCGTGGTTGTTCAGGAATTCAATTTTCTCTGTGTATTGGCAGATTTTAAAGAGGCCACCTTTTTACAAAAGTGATTTTATAACTTTTCTTCATTTGTAAGAGATGTAGGCATCAGCCCAGCAAATCACTTTCAGTGACAGTGCAGTTCATACTCTTGCACAGCTATTGAGCCATGGTATTGAGGCTTCAGGCAATTACAAGCCCAGAAATCTGAGTGACGTGTACAACATCGACAACAACTTGCATTTATATAACGCTCTTCATGCAGGATAGGGCCTCAGAGTAGATGGACCTCAGTGGTAATAAGTAAACACAGCGCACGTTACTTAACTCAACGATCATTCAAAATTGTTTCTGGGGTGAGACTTAATTTAAAAAAGAGGCTTCCTGTACTTGTGCTATATGTGAAGAGCTCTTTAATTGAAGAGACTATTAACATTCCCTCTAATAACGAACAAACTCACGGTGGTTGGAAGTGAAAAGTCCATTAAATAATTTGTTGTAATTGAATTTAAATGACTCAACAAAAAAACTAATTCAAATTGAATGATAAACAGGAACTTAAACTTAAATAAACATTATTTATTTGTTCGAATATTAATCCTTGTGCGCCCTGTAAGATCCATTAAAAGAGATATGTTTTGACCTCAATACTCACAAGGCTGACAAGTTTATTACACATTTTTTTAAAAAAAAGATGATTTTATTGTAGTTTGAACAAAAGGTTTGGGTCCTCTGGTTGTAAATGCAGGATTACTCGACGAGGCAGTTTAGAATGGCCTAACTCAGGGGGTTGTGAATGGCTTTGAATGGTTGCTTGCTTACAAATCCATGCCCAAACCAAAGCGTGCGCCCACATTGACTGCTGTCAAACTGCCATGCTTTGCTACCCTGCCAAAGATTCAGAACTATTTGATTCAATGATAGAGATAGTGACCATTTCTACAAAAGTAGGTGAGCTGAAGGGCTTTCTTCATCCAAACAAACCTCGTGACCTTCCAGAGCGTGATGCAGACCTAACTGTGTCAAATGTATCAGAAGCACAAACTGGTTTGGGCAGAAGTCTACACTATAACGTAGAGTCGGTTAGCACATGGTTTCTGTAAACGTGTTACCCAATTATATTGCGCAATAACTGGCTAATAGAACTGAGCTGTTTCCTTTTCTACATGCTTGTACCTCTATTCTCTTACGTAAAAACTTGAAACAAAATAAAGCAGTGGTAGCTTCTTGTTAAAATGCGATTTATTCTAACCAGTGTTTCCCCCTATCCAGACTGGTGCTGTAAGTAGAACAGTTTAAAGCTCAGCAAAATTAAATTCTGATAAGCAAAACCATTCAGTGAGTCCCCACCAGTTAATAATTACCAGAGGTGTAATTTCCCTCTCACCCATCACCTCATTCACAGCCAATTTGTAACTGAATCCACCCAATACCACATTTCATTTAACCCTTTATCCCTCAAAGCAAGCCCAAAAGAAGTACCGATGCTTGCTTTTAAAACGATGGTTGCAGATGACTGAAACTTCTAGCCAGGAAAGGGTAAACCTACGTAAACGCTCTGAAACTATCTCATCTGCCCCACGTTTCCTTTGGAACGTTGTTTAAATATTATTGCAGTTATTGGTGTGCTTTTGGTCCCATTCATAAGCAGCGTTTGCAACAGAATCGCGAGCTTGTTGACTTTGTATATGTGAAACTACTGTAACATAAATCATTGAAATAAGGAACACAAGTGTCACCTAGTTCCCAAAAGGAAAGAGATGATCATTTGAGGACTGAAGCAACATGTCTGCATCACAAAGTAAACATAACAGGCTTCAAGCACTCCCTTTATCAAAAGAACATTTCCTTTGCGTGCTTATTAGGATTTATAATAATAAACATGACAATCTTCAGACTATTCTTTGTAAACATGCTATTATGAAACAAAATATGGAATACTTTGAACTTGCAAATATTGAATACTTTCAAGAGGGTTTTGTTTTCAGTTAACAAGTGCTTTCCCAATTGTCGGTGAAAACTGTAGAGGAGATATTAAATTTTGTAAATGAGGTATTTCATGATTCGAAAAACTGAAACCAAAAGAAAACTTGTAACACTCCCTTAATCTCCACCACAAATAAATGGAAATGTTTGACCTTGGAAATGGTTCATTCTTAATAAATACAGTGTGCAGTCTAAGCAACTCAGATCTTTAAAAGCAATCCATGACCCAGAGGAGGTCAAACAACTTTGGATCAAATGCCTGTATTGTGATGTTTCGCCTTATGTTATCATTTTATAAGGAAGAAAATGTTATGGAATGCATTACTTATACTTTACTGCCTTGGTCTTTATAAAGGACATCTGGTCCTTGGAACACTGACACCCAAAGTATAAGGCTTCAATCCCCAAATCCCTTTAGCACTTAAAGTTCTTACTTTGCATGTTGCTGAAGAAACTCAAAGAAAATATTACTGCAGGGAGATGGCCTTCGTATCAATATAGACTAAGCCACTTAAGCCTTCCACAAGCTTGTTTCTTTAACCATGAGACAAGTCATTTTCTGCTCATCTCTCAGCAGACTGGTGGTCTTGGAAGAGGGGAGTTTGGCAAACAGCAACACTGGGTTTTATCAGTCGGAATGTCAACAGCTGATAGCAAACAAGTGTTGATAAAACAGTTTGGGAAAAGACGGATTCTGCTTCCCCAAATGTGACACAAACACGAGCAGTGTCCTCTTTTGCTCTGGGGACAGCCTCTTTACAACACGGTAACGGTGACGAGAATGGATGCATCTGCTCGTTAAGATGTAAATTTGGGGCTTCTTCACTGCCTGATTATTCTTTACAGTAAAATTTGACTTTTTTTTAAAAAAAGAGACACGCGTGAAGAAATGCGCAACTCAAATGACTCGTCCCACGTAATAAAATGATTTCAAACCTCCAAAGGATTATAATCAAAAATTCTAAATTCTTTTAAGAGAGTTGTGTTTTCAGTTAACAATTGCTTTCCCGATCGTCAGTGAAAACTGCAAATGAGATATTATAATTATCACAAAAATGGACGAAAGAAGAAGGCATGAGATTCTCTCCTTACCATTGGCATTCTTGCCACAGATGAGATGCTCATAAGGCTGCAGTACTCCCCAGAGTTCAGCGTCATTGTTGATGCACATCTCTAGCGTTTCGCTTGAGAGCTCCAGCCGGCCTTCGTGCACAACTCCTCCTCCATCTGGGTTCTGGCCAGCGGCCACCCTGATCCCAATCTCTTCCAACAGACTCTCCAGGCAGGCAGCGAGAGAGATTGCAGCATATTCATGGATGCGAACTGACACCCGAGTGTCTACCATCCATCTGAAGAAACGGCCAACCGAGAAGGTCAGGCCACACCTGAAATATTAACAGCAGTTCTGTCACTCACATTGGTTACCAGTGCACACTAATGAACAAAATCAGGTCAACGTAAAGCAGGGATGTTACAAGTTCCAGTTGGGAGTTTATATCACCAATCCCGACAGTCCTTTTCTGCCTTTCCTTTGGTTTAGATTGGGCTAATATTGGACACTATTTTAATATCTTAAGATTGGGATTTAGTGGGATGGTGAGCTCTCACACTTCTGTTCACCACTAGGATTAGATTGGAATCCAGTCTCTTCCGCTCTTTCATGTTAAAGCATACTTTCTAAATATTATTGGTTTGGACAGTCTCACCTTAGTTTCCAGTAGGGGCAAGTTCAAGGGAAAAAGGCCTTAGTTTAGCATTGAATCAATGTTCTCACTCAAAGCCACAGATAAAACTGGTTTCAGTAAACGGAAAATTCCCACAGGTGCATTAATTGTCACCCTTATTAGTTTGACCACAGCCCAGATTGTTGAAGCTAACTATAATCTTATTAATAATAATAATACCTTTCACTTGGTTTGGAGCTCGTCCCAAACCACTTCACGGGATATATTGTAAAGTGAAGTGACTGTGTGACAATTTGAGTACAGCTTTGCTCCAAAGCTGTGTAATTACTCTGTACTTATGTGTGCCATGAGATTGCTCCATACCATCTCTGGCTCCCTGAGAAACCTGAAAAACATTTATTCCTCCGCTTGCTGAATGCAAACATTCACAAACCAAAAAGGAAGAAAGGATAATGAATATTGCATCAACATTGGTTGCCCATAAAAAGGAATAGGATTTGTACGGGTTGCCATTAATAAGAACCACATTCAATTAAGTGGGGGAAGAAATTGTATGAATTAAATTGTATGCAGCTGCTGGCTGTTTGACTTTCCACTAGCACTTTTCCAATTGAAACTGAAAGATGAGCGAGCTGGAGGTGGTGGCACATTGCCATCGCTGGCACACTGCACACTGTGGCCCCTGGAAGGCTAACTGGTCGAGTGAGCATTGATCCTGAATGTCAACAACAACAACAACAATTTACACTTGTATAGTGCCCTTCACGTCAGAAAGATGTCCCAGGGCGCTGGACAATCAGAAGTTTTGGACCTAAGCTGGGAGTGGAGTCCTGCAGCTCAGTGGTTAGAGCACTCGCTTTGCAAGCGAGAGACCTGAGTTCAATTCCAGGCAGAGGGCGAAACCTTGGGCAAGTTTCCTTATTCCACACAGAACCTAATAATAATCCCTCCAAATCCAAAAACAATAATAAATTGGTCATTTTCAATCTACGACTGTTTGTGGGACATTGCTGTGCGCAATTGGCTGCCGCGTTCGCCCACAAATATAGTCAATTCACTTTACAGTGTGTTCTGTGAAGCACTTTGGGACGTCCCCCTGACGTGAAAAGCGCTATATCAAATGCAAGGATTATTATTATTATTAGTTGGGGTCAGTAGGGGTGAAAGGCAGTGGGGGTGGGAGGATGGCTGAAGGCACGGTCGAATAAGAAGGTCTTACACGGGATATGAAGGAGGCAAGAGAGGCGGTGAGGTGGAGGGTTTGCGGGATAGAGTTCCAGTGTTTGGGGGCAGAGAGGCTAAAAAAACAGGCTAACTTATTCTGTGGACGCTTGACTTCAAATGCTGCAGCTCATTGCTTTACCAGACTCTTGAAGGAATTAAAGATTTTATTAGTGGAACCTCTATCTTCGACAGTTTCCGTTTTTTTTAAATAAAAGGAAATGTGTGAGTTAACTTCCAGAGTCACTGCTTTGAGCAGTGGTCTGTCTGATGGAGGGAGACTTGTGAGGTGCTACTTTTTTCACGTGTCTGGTTGAGATTGCTGGGACACTGACACATTGCATATGTGTAACTAAAAGCAGATGATCCGAGAATGTCCTGGCATAACAGCCCCCATGAGTACCTTCCAGCAGCGCCTGTGAATGAACAGTGATCAGGTGCAGGAACCCTGGTGGATGTTTTCCTACCATAACCTATTGGGGGGTTGAATTATTGTGCTGTGCTGAGTTGAATTATTGCACCTTGGCTAACATAAGCCAGGTGCACAGTCCAGCTTCCTCTTCTCGGCTCTTAAAAGCCATCTGCCTACATGCTAGATGCATTTTACTCTCCTGTACAGTCTCCCTCACAGTTGCCTATCCTTTCAACGACTCAGGTTGCCTCTTTCAGAAAGGCGTGGGAATGCCGACTGTGTGAAGAGTCGCTCTATTCTGCGAACGTACATTGCACAACAAAAGCAATTACATTTGTATAGTGCCTTTCACGCTGGGAGGGTGTCCCAAGGCGCTGGAAAACACACACTTTTAGATTCATAGATTTTTATATATATACATATATAAATTTTTACACATCTACAACACCCCGCTTTTCCCTTTCTAACGGCAAAAGTGCTTTACATGGTCCTGACTCTCCCCAAGGCAATGTGTCTTGGGTCCCCCAAATGTCTTACTGAACGACTGTGACATTTGTCATCACTGAGCCCTCTCCAAAGTGAGATTTGCCGAATTAAGGAGAATTTTATGCATTTCTATTACAAATCTGGCCGCTACAGACAGGTGAGCCGGAATAACATTGGTAACTCATAAGAGCTTACAAGAAAATGTTTCGAGTAAAAAATGACTCCACCGCAATTACTTCCATTTCATTTGATTGTTTTATTATAATCCTTGCATTTGACTAACCACACTTTGAGACGTCTCAAAACGCTTCACAGAATATGCTGTAAAGTGAATTGACTGTATATTTTATGGGTGAAACACAGCAGCCAATTGTGCACAGCAGTGTCCCACAAACAGTTGTGGATTGAGTGACCAATTTTTCTTTGGGGTGGGGGGAAGGAGGGAGAAGGGATTATTACCTCCAGAAAGCAATCCACCAACCGACTAACAACTGGGAGGCTGTCAGCACTGTTCGAACAAGTTACGAGGCAAAACCTAATTTTAAAACCACCTCCGTTATGTTTTGCCCACAAAATACTCAATCAATTCACTTTACGATGTATTCGGTGAAGCGCTTTGAGACGTCGTGAAGACGTGATAAGCCGCTATATCAAATGCAAGGATTATCAATATTATTATTATTATTAAGTGCACATTTCCGAATAGGCGCATTACTGGGTAGATACCTGGAGCTCTTGCTTTTCCTCAGCCTGTCCCCAGCGCTCATGCTGTACAGGGACAAGGCTTTCACAGAAGCAGAGATGCATCTTTCAGACAAGGACCAGGACAGGATGAGCCTCATGGCGCTCTGGATCTCGAACTTGGTGCATTTGGAGTGCAGCACACTGAGCCTCTGAGCCTCCCTGGAAATCCTGACCAGGGCTCTCCTCAGCAAGAAAGACAGTCTTCTGACCGCTTCCTGTGTGAGGAGTTTCCCGGAGTCCCTGGGTCTCCCTTTCTTCAGGATCTTCCCCACGTCTTCGTCCGTCCACGGAAACTCCTCCAACTCGGGGAGCCGGGGGCATTTGGAGAGGATGTCATTGCCCTCCGGGTCCTCGGGTAGGACGGTGTTGACCGTGTCCCAGCTGTTGTTGCGGCTGTTCATGGAGCCCGACAGGTACCACCAGTTGCCCTTGTTGTGGGCTGACTGGAAAGCTTGGGAGTTGGACCGGGAGGAGGACAGACTGAGGGACCTGCACGAATCCCCGGCCCCACCATAACCCGAGTCCAGAGTCAGATCTTCCAGCGTCTTCAAGGTGGAATTGTACAATCCGGCCATTGTGCAGAGAGAGAGAGAGAGAGAGAGAGGGGGAGAGAGAGGGAGAGAGAAAGAGAACAGTTTGCAAACGTTTGCTCAACTCAAGCCAAGTCGCATCAGCTTTTGGAGGAGGCTCTTGTCCCCAAAAAGCCTTTTCTTCCCAGGAATCCAAAAAAAAAATAAGAGCAAAGCAAACGCTCTTGTGGTGTGTCCTCGAGTGTGTCCCAGCGCGTGCGTCAAGGGTTCCTTCCAAGAAACTGTTGAGGCTTTGCAATTCTGTTCCAATGGCTTTGTAAATCCTCTTCGCCTTTTAAAGAAGGGGGGAAAAAAAAGACACACACTCACACACACACACTCTCTCTCTCTCTCTCTTTTTTTTCCCTCCTTCCCTCTCTCCTGGGTTAGTTGTGTCCTTTTGCATCTGACCTGGCAGAGAAAATGGAAAGTTTAAGAACGAGTCTGCGATGGTTTCTTGAACTTCATTCGTTGCTGATGATCAGTGAGAAGGTCCTCCTCCTCCTCCTCCTCCTCCTCCTCCTCCTCCTTCTTCTTCTTCTTCTCCTTCTTCTTCTTCTTCTGCACGATTTGCTTGTGGTTGTCTTATTTGTGTGTGTGTGTGTGTGGTCCTCCTCCCTTAAAAGCTCACGTTTAAGAGGGTTGGGGTTGAGGATGGGGATGGGGATGGGATGTGTGGGGGGGAAAGAGGTCCAAACCCCAAACCCCCTCTCCCCACCTCCACCTCCACACACACACACACACACAGACACACACACACACACACACAGAGTGAGAGAGAGAAAAAATCTTCTCGTGTCATCTGCAAATATCCTTTTTTTTTAAAAAAAAATCTACAGATTATTTTATATCATATATACATATACACACATATATATATATATATATATGCAAAAAAAAAGTAATGTAAATACCCCCCACACACGGGGGGGAAAAAAAAAGGTGCAACTTGTCCCTTTGCACAGCTCAGCTCTTTTGAACAAACTTCTGTGCACAGTGGAGCAAATTCCCTTTTAAAGCCTCTTTTTATATATATATATATATAGAGAGAGATATATATATATTATAACCACAACGCACAACACACACACACACACACACACGCGCGCTGTCGGGTCCCGATCCCTGTGCAGTGGCTCTGATGTCCAGTCGGGGTTTCGGACGCAGCTCTTCTCCAGCGCTCGGCTCCCGGTGCCGACAAACACCAATCGCCTGGAAAAAAAAAGTGACTGTCAGCCACTCCCACAGCGCTCTGGGCTCTGGGCTCCTCCTCTCCTCCTCCCTCCTCACCCCCGGGACTGTCCTGGTGTCTGTGTGTTGTATGTGCGCAGCTCTAACCCGGGACTGTCCTGGTGTCTGTGTGTTGTATGTGCGCAGCTCTAACCCGGGACTGTCCTGGTGTCTGTGTGTTGTATGTGCACAGCTCTAACCCGGGACTGTCCTGGTGTCTGTACACAGTCCTAACTTACTTATTGTAAAAATTACGGCCAAGTAAGTATATATCTATTCACTGTACCCTTTCTGATGCAGTCATATTCTTGGTCAGTATTCAGTGCTGACTATGTAGCTGTGGTCACAATCCCTGGAGAACTTTGGTCCACGCGGAGCTAATACACTACATGTATATTCCTGACTCAAGAATGACATCTCACAGGATCACAGATACAGATGGAGAGATGGACTGTATCAGTTTGAGTTTAGCAGTTTGGGATCCAGCTCTGAATTAAACAGCTACTTGTACGATGTCCACCTTTTAGTGTATACTTAGTTGGTTGTATTGCTGTGGAAGATCTTGGTGTTGTCCGCTTTCGGTATTTATATATGTTACCAGTTCCTTTGGGTGCGAAGTAAGCTTAAATTACGCAACGTGACTGCAACACGTACCCATGGTTTTCTTGTACAGTATTTCCAATCAACGTGTGTGTTATCTATGAGAGTAATCAGTGCCTTGCAATAATTTACATTGCTTTGCAAACGAGCACCAGCGTGAATTGATTCACCCCACGTTTTTATATATATATTTTTTAATTTGAATCAAAACAATTTTCAATCCACTCGTAAAAAGATCAGCTGATCTCACAGGATATTTATCGTTTGTTTCGAGAGAAAAAAAAGTAATTGCATGCATAAGGAAAGCAGCGATGTGTGTTTGATACAGAAACTCATATTTTTTTAATTAAAAACAAGAAAGCAGCCAGATACAGTATACAATCAAAATCTCCTCCAAAATGCTCGTGTTCGATGGGATCATTCGACTGAAATGACAGCCATCTAATGTAATTTGCAGTCCAGATCACGTCTAGCAGGTTTGTCGCAAAATATCATCGGCAAAAAGGACATGAAAAATCACCTCTCAGGAATCTCTGACAAAAGCTGCAGTTCAAACAGGATTGGGACACTTTGGTTTCTGGACGTGAAAGGCGCTATACAAATACAATCTTTTTGTTGTTGTTGTTGTTGTTTCGCTCATTGAATGTCATCTGAATGTACTGCCAGCAGGCACTGATATGAAACGACCTTGATCCTTTCCATGGGACATGTTAGTGATGTTTATCCCAGTCGCAGCAGCTCTCCAGCTGACACACAGACCCAACACGGCACATGGATTCCCAGGCAGAATATATGAATCCGAACTGCAGCAATGCACATTTATCAGGTCTCTTTAATCCATGGCGGAACTTGTCTGATCATTAATTACTCTGAGAGATGCACCGCTTAGATTTCTCCCTGTGACAAATCTTCATAGAAAGGATCACGGTTTCCGGATCTCTGTTGCGTTTTCTTTCATTCGAAATGTGGAGAGGTGACACATACTATTGCCACACCAGGCACTTAATCTGATTTAATAAGGACACAACTGGTCTCCAAACACAAGAGGAAACAGAGGCAAGTCTCCTAGATTAATGCTTTGGAACAAGCACATGGGATTTATCCAGCATTAATAGCAGTTAGTTTTTTTCTCTCCCTTTTGAAAAACGTATTTCATAGTTTCAAGCAATAACCATTTGTTCACATGGACGGTAAGTCAGCGTTGAATGAATAGGGCGGCTTGATGGAGGGCCTTTTTTTCCTTTCTCCACTATATTGGCCATTAAATACGGGTAATATAATTTTTAGTACCAGTTGTAGTATTGTGGAATACCAATGCAGGAATTTAATAATAGAATAGAAGTCCTATTGTGCACCAGAATGGGTCGACCTCCACACATACCTGAGAATAAGTCATTGATCAAATATTTACTTTCACTACTACATCTGCAGCCTGCTGTGTTTGTATCAGTCTTTATGTTGTAAAACAGTACTGTATATGACAAGTAATAAGGAATAGAAACAAACAAGAAAGGAAACTCGCATGGATTTGAATCAGAAAAGTGGGCTCCCATAATGGCCCAGAAACTTTACTCCAATATTAACCAGCAAATAAAAATAGCACAAATGAATGTAAGTGCCTGTGGGGAAGGTAGGATTAGGGAGTGACTTCAGAAGGGTTGCTGAAACAGTGATAAGCAGTAAGGTTCTGTAGAGCAATGGGCAGTAACTAAGGAAAGAGGCCAATTCTTCTTTCACCCTCCGCCCCACTCCCCTGTGGAAATGTTCCACCTCTTCAAGGCCCCATAGTTTTGATGATTGCTTTTTTTTAAAAAAATGTCAATTTGGAGTAATTGATTGCGACGGTATTTTGGAATCCAGAACTCTGTTTAATGTATCCCTCCTGGAGATCGTTCTTGTTTAACTGTGAGTTTCTTCTGCAAAGCAGGAAAAAAAAATCCGACAACATGATGCTACCCATGTGGCAAAACAAAACATGCAAAGTCCCTGGCCTCAATTCTCCACCTCAACACATCTGCCGCAACAAATAAAACCGTTCAAATGTGCCAAACGTGGAGCACCTGAGTACTGTCTGCCATTGATGACAAAACACTTTCTACAGTGGTGTACTTTACCATGTTTCCTTAAATCATATAACTATTATGGGAAAAAGGTAGACACTTGGCTTTAGTTTTAATGCTATTTTAGGCTTGGAATGTGCCAACCACACTTGTAATGAGCTATTTACGCTTTCTGCCACAATTAACTTGTATCACCTTTGCTACTTAGTGTGATGTTTGATTATCTTGTATTTGTTTTATTTTTCTCCAATGGAATCGACAATACAGAGGGTTCCAGTTCTATTGACCACGTTTACGAGGTGGCAGAAAATGTTGTGCTGAACTGCCACCTTGTGGACAAACCCACATTAATTCCTGAGCTGCTCTCTTTGCTTCAACGAGCAATCTGAACTGTTGAAATGAAATGTCTTCCAAGCAAGATTATCGGGTTTAGAAACAGAACCTTGCACAGAGGTGATCTTTACACATGGACAAACCACAGTGAGATGGGCCGAATAGTCTTCTTCTGTGCTGTAAATATCTATGGTCTATAACATAAATCCAATATTAAATGGCAATTTAAAATAAAAGAACTTGATTGACAGTTGTCTTAAGGACTAACAAGGTCCAAGCCTTTGTGTCCATCGTGTGCTGATCTTGGTCAGGGCAGTGTATAAAGAGGGACTAGATTGCCTCTGGGCTCAGGGAGTGTTAGAATCTGCCAGGTCACCTGGCCTTAATCATTACCAATAACGTCTGTTGGAAAATGTGGCTGCTAGAAGCTTGGTGAAAAGAGGATGGAGGAATGGGCTCAGTTCTGATGAGCTGCCGCTCAGTCGCATAGCCTACTGACATTCCTTACCTCGCTCAAGCATGAAGAATGGCAACTTTGGTCTTTTGCCCGTGGAACCACAAGTGAATCAGCACCTCCAGGAGAGGAGGAGTAAATTGGAAGGAGAAAGCGAAGGAACGTAAGGGATGATAAAAGTTGAAATTGCAGCAGATGTAAGTTGGTTGCACATCAGAGTGTGCTAACTCTGCTGACAAGGCTGACAGACTTCCACAAGATCCTTTTGGCCATGCCTGGACCTACTGTGTCTGCCTGAAAACTCTGTAATTGTGGCACCAACACTCCTGAAATAAATATCCACGGGAATAAATTCCACTTGGGTCTAGATTTCTGTCACATTGAAAACATTCAGAATTTGGCAAATTCTTAATTTCAAAGTCATTTTTCCTCTAAGTTATTTTAAGAATTGTAGAAAAATGACTTCAAAATTGGGACTGAATGCAACAAGTTGCCAGTTCCTAGATACTCTGGTAGAATTTCTACCCGCTGAAGTTTAGAGAAGACTAGTTACTGTTCCATTTCATTTCCTCCCATACGTAAACACGACACTTTGATCGGAGAATGAAATTAGCCAAGGATTGAAATGACCTACTTGGAATGGACGAAATATAAATAAACAAAGACAAATACATTAGCTGTCCTTTGGCTAATCTCAGTACCAGCTCTGTGCATGAGGCCTACTTTGTTCCTCTTAAGATCCTGTCACTGTGAATGTGATCATTGTAGCTTTGAGTTAATTTGGATTTTTAAAAACAACAATTTTGCGAAGTTCTTCTCTGCGTCTGTGACATTCGTTCAGCTGCAAATCACAAGACTTAATTATGACCCATATTGTTTGTGTTGCTCAGAGAGAAAAAATACTTCCTGGATCACAACTCTATTGGTAAGTAAACCATCAAGCTTTTATTAACAGAGCCACCTCTGCCTTATTTCAGATAATGATATTATGCTTTTTTTTAAGTTGACTTCCACTTGGAAAACAGATAATTTGACACTCCAACACAGTGTTGGGGGAATACTGCAAAGTCAGAGTTGTTGGCCTTCAGATGAAATGTTAAACCAAGGTCTTGTCTACCTGTTCAGGTGGATGTTAAAGATCCCATGGTATTAATGTCTGGGCAGATTAATACTGTAAATAGAACTGCTTTGAACAAACTTTCCTCTCCTTTCCCCCCCACCCCATCCACTTATACTTAACAAATGCATGATGTTAGACTAGAAACATCTCAAATAATTTAATAATTATATGTACATTTGATACAATGCCTTATCATGCTGAAACCATCTCCGAGACCTTCACAAAATGAGGTATTAATTGCAATGACTCTTATAATGTAACCAAACCATAGCAGTAAAATTGCACCAGAAAATTCTTGCAAACAATTAGATGAATGGCCAATTATTTTTGTGGATGAGGAAACAAAATTGGACTGGACACCGGGAGAAGGCCTTGATTTTCTTTGAAATAGTGCCAGGAGATCTTTAAAGGCCACCAGAGTGGGCAAGTTTAATACTTTGTTTAATACCTTGCAAGCACTGGCTTATTCCACATTCTCTGCCCTACCTCCTCCACTATTGGCAGTCAGGCCTTCAACCTTTCTGCCCCCATCTTCTAGAACTCCATCTTGGAGCTTCTCCGCATTGCCCCCTTCCTTGCCTCAATCAAAGTCCACCTCAAGAACTTCCTTTTCGACCGTGTCTTCGGTCATCTTCCCTACTCCACCACCCCACCCCTGCCCTCCACCCCCCTCTGATCCCAACCCATCCATTGGGTGCCAAGCGCATATGGTCAAGCACCTCAAGTTCTGAATAAGCAATGCAATGTAATGGTAGCAATGTGCAGAAGTGCGAAACCGGAAACTGTAAGAGAGTTCCTGAAAATGCAATCCAATCCAATGATGAAAACAGACTTGCAGGTTATTCCTCAGCTGCACGTGAACAGGAAAGATGATTCTGTGTAGGAGTCTTGTATTCAGAGTATACGTCTCCCCACCCCCCCCCCCCCTCCACCACCCACAATTCCTGATTATCCACTTGATTTTTGTAAGCTTTTGAAATATATCCTACGTGATGGACTGGAGGTAGAGTAGGTGTTCTGGAAGGATGAGATCAAATAGGTCAAAGGGTCTATCTAATTCATTCCAAACCAATCTTGTGACATGTCTGCATTCCAAGTAAGAGCTTGTAAGAAACTCTATCCATCACTTCAGTGAAATTCTTGTCAAGATCTACGACTGAGTATGATCTGTGTATAAATAGTCGAGAATAAGCAGAGACCTTTGGCAGGTCAGTGATATAGCAAAGGACACAGTCTCAAGTCTCGAGGAACAGCAAGGTCAATCAGATTTGTGGCACAGCGATTAGTTCTTGATATTTGCCCATTAGACTGAACAACCATTGATTCGTCTCAATTGCTAAGCAAGTGTGTATGGTAATGTTGACTGCTTGAAAACCCTTTTGAATTGAGATGCACATTATTGCTTTGCAAAGACTAAAAGTAAAGTTGATTCACAGGTGTTGATAATGTGGTGTGTGCGTGAAAATTACATGGCTGATAAAATGCGACTTTCTCAATTATTTTATAAGTAAGGGAGATAGATATTGAAATCCTGGGTTAGACCTTAGCAAGTCTGTTTCTAGTTAATAGGTACTAAGTAATAGCAATGACACCAGGCAACAATAATAATAATAATCCTTGCATTTGATATAGCGCCTTATCACATTGTTGAGACATCTTAAAGCGCTTCACAGAATGCACTGTAAAGTGGATTGACTGTATATTTTGTGGGCGAAACGCGACAGCCAATTCCATATAGCAGCATTCCACAAGCAGCCGTGGATTGATTGAACCAAATTATTATTTTTATTTCTTTTGCAATACAAAGTAAGAATTGCTCAGGTTTTATTGAGCGTCCTAATAGTTTCCTGCTTATTTCCCCTACGGTTTGACCTACTTATTTTTAATTTGAACAGTGGATCGAGTATCTTCACTTCGTCTCAGCATCAATTGTGGTTTTCAGAATTTTTTTTATCCATGACAGGAATGCATACACATGCCTGCAGTCCTGTTCGACTAAAGATGAGATTCCAGCCCTCCCTGCGGTTTTTTTTTAACTGTGTGCTCTTCAGTGTAATTAAAAACATACTGCAAGTTGATTCTAATATGGTTCCATCGTGTAGTGCGGAAAATCAGGAATTGGTGGCAATATCTGCTGGCTTATTCCCTTCCCCTGATTTTTGAATACAAACAGGAGCACAGGATACAATAGCGTTCAGCTGGTGGATGTTGTCTGGGAAATGGTGAGTAGCTGCTGAGGGTATGGTGCTAATTGTCCATCTGAAAACCTATTTCTTTGTGTTTGCCAGCCAACAGGGTATGTGGGTGCAGAAACAGAGGAATGAGGAGTCTGTCCAAAACCCAAAGTACTGTGATACTGGGTGCAGCTGTTTTCTATTCAACTGATTTGAATTGCACCAAGAAACCATCATTCAGAGGAGACACAAATTCTGGGTGAACTGCTTACGAACTGATCTATTTTAGGCTCGAGAGTTCCTGTATTAACCCCCTGAGAGCAGATCAGCCTTTTGCGTGTATTCAGTGTAAAGTTTTGTTTTTTGTTTGTTAACTTGAATTGTACTAAATTGTAACGACACATTAAAAGTATGGAATAATTTAATAACTGCAAGGCTAATTGTGTTCAAGTATGAATATGATACATTTAGAAGTTATGCATTTTTCTGACTTATATTAATGGTTTCATTTGTCCATGATATATTTTTTAAAAAGCAACCCGCAGACATTTAACCTGTCTGAGCGATATTTAAACGTCTGCAGTGGAATTTTGTCAGTAGACAGTTGATGGGAACCCCAGCTGTTGTAGAGGTAGTTACTAACAGCCTAAGATATCATGCCTATTTCTGGCAGAGATTGGCGCCTACACATTAGCCCTTATTAGGGATACTACAATTGATCTTCAAAATTCTCTTTCTGAGACTCGTCCAGGCTATCACTGCATTAACATAAACACTACCCCTGGCGTACTGATGTCTACAAACGCAGCAGATAGAAATCCAGCGAAGTGGGTAAGTGCAGAAAAAGGAGTCAACAGTTTGATGATAACATTTTATTGATAGGGGCAACAAAAAGTTGATTTCTCTATTTATTTATATCCTTTAGATTACGAAAAATCCTTTATTCATTGGGTTGGCAGCTGGAGTACTAGTGCATGGGCTTCAGGTCTTTGGTAAAGTGGTGGTTTCACAGTGTTCTTTCACACGTGTGAAATAACAGGTTCAGAGCCGCTTAGTGTTTGCACAATTTAATAGGGCAGCTTTAGCTTCTATCAGGAGTCGCGTATGTGTGCGCTAACGAGAATCTCTAACTGGGGGACTGTAAGATACTGGCAACTCTTTCACCCTTGCTGAAACCTTAACAACTTATTCTGCCACAATTGAGCACTGAGGGGCATTGCTGTTGAGGAAAAACTGTTCATAAAACTAAATTGTACTGCTAAGAGCTTTACTGTTTATGGAAGGAATTTAAAACGTTGTTTCTATAATTACCATCTCTGCTCCTATAACGGGGCCAGTATAAGATATTAATAAACCCTATTGATGTGACTTGAGATTTGATATTAATTCGTTACTAGGGCAGATTGATAGTTCCAGTAGGACGATGGGAGTTTGTTGTGTTTGTCCAGTAGTATGTTAAACGTTTGAACCTAGCTGTGCTTAGCAACTGCAATGTCATAACTATAAAGCTGTGCCTGAACTCACTACACTTTACTGTATGTCTGTCCTTCATTCAAAGTGCTTTGAGATGTCTTCCTGATATGAAAGGTGTTAGTGTGGGCCTTTTGACTATTGCAATGATTATTATTGTTGGTTGCTGCAAAAATTGAAAACACTAGTTGAAGTGGGTAAAGCTTACTTAACTCTATCTCGTGTTTAGATCACTGGATTGCGGGAAAATAGATGTCTGAGGTTGATATATGCATCAGAGAACAAACATAGTGTGAAGAAAATCAAGAGAAGACCACCACAATGACAAATATGTTGGGAAGTTCAGAATCCTTCTGGTCCAGCGATGTCGTTCAGGATCCATCTGGTTCGAATGTCCCTCTGATCAGAACTGACAGGAACTATAGCTTCAATAAAAAGACAGCGCATCGAGTCTCATTCACTATCAGCATCCCGTACTGTGAACGCTTAGATGGTCATAATGAAGAAAAACTGGCCAAATATGAGAGCAGGATTTCTGAGCTAACTTTACCAGTCTCACACACTGTAAAAAAGCTGGTTTGGCACACCTTCCCTTTCCTTAATTGGTTTCTTGGGTACAAAGTCAAAACATGGTTGTTGGGCGACCTACTTTCGGGACTTAGTGTGGGCCTTTTGACTATTCCTTTATCCCTTGCATATGGAGTTATTGCAGGGCAGCCATCTATTAACGGACTCTACACAAGTTTGATCTCTACAGTCTTATATTGCTTGCTTGGAACAACGCCACACATGTCCTATGGTGCATCTGCGTTTACTGCTTTGCTCATTGCCAAACATGTTGGCCACATTGAATCTGGGGAGCTTGTTTCAGACAGTGACTGTTCTCCAAAATGCTCAATGGAGTTGCATGTGGTTACCCTCACCTGTGTCTCCGGAATTATTTTGATTTTAATGGGGATTTTTCGCCTCAGTTTCCTGCAGATGTACATCTCCAAGCCTGTCATAAATGGCTTCAAAGCTGGGACAGCTTTCAATTTAATAATCATCTTGCTGACTATATTACTTGGTATTGATGGTCCAATTCATCATGGCCCATTGGCATTTGTCTACACTCTCAAGGATATCATTGAAAACAATGAAATAAACATTGGCTCTCTCATTGCTGGTCTAGCCACATTAGCATTTCTGATCCCTTTGAAAATAATAAACTACAATTACAGTAGACATCTCTTTCCCATAGAGTTTATTGTCATGGCTATTGCCATCGGGATGACACTCTGGTTGGATCTAGAGGACAACTATAATTTCAAGTTGATAAACTACCAGCCATTTACTGCACCGCAGCTTGTTCTCCCTTCTCTCTCCTTAATATCCAGTGTTATTGCAGACGCTGTTTCCATTGCATTGGTGACTTTTGTAGTTAGCCTATCAATGGGAACTGAGATCTCCAAAAAGCACAATCATAGTTATCACCCACATCGCGAGACTCTGGTTTTAGGGTTTTGTGACCTGATCCTCTCGTTTCTGGGTGCTTTTGCAGTCTCTGGAGTTTGTGAGCAAACTGTGGTGCAAGAAAAAGCTTGGGGTCAAACCCAAGGCGCAGGCTTGGTAGCAGCAAGTCTTTGCCTTACTGCTCTGTTCTGTGGTCAAACCCTCCTTCCACTTGTGCCAAAAACTGTTCTCGGTGCTATTGTAATTGCAAATCTGGGTTGTTACTTAGAGTTCTTCAGGAAGTACTGTTTTGCGTGTAGGAGGAACAGATACGATTTTCTGGCTGGAATTGTTACATTTGCAGCAGTGTGTTTGCTTGGGATCGATATTGGTTTAGCAGTTGGCGTATTCTTTTCACTTTTGCTCACTCTCCACAGACTTCAAAGACCTTCTATTGCCATTTTGGGCCATATTCCCAACACAGAAACCTACACCGACTTGTCCTTCGAGAAGGCCGCCAAAGAGATATTGGGAATTAAAATTATAAAGACCTTCGATTCTGTTTATTACGGCAATGTTGATTTTTTTTTGGCGTGGCTGAAACGCAAAGTGAATAGTTCTCTTCTGCCTAGTGGGAATTCAAGAACTGAGAGTGCAACGTACAGTGAAGAAGATAAATATAATATGTTATGGGAATCCACGCAATTCCTTGCATTGGATGAAAATGCGCTCAGGCAGATTAGTCGCACAGCACTGTATAGACATAGAAGATCCAAACATACTGCTAATGTGCATACTGTCATTTTGGATTGTGGATCAATTAGTTTTATAGATGATGCAGGGGCCAATGCTCTAATATGCTTGTTTGAGGAATACCAGTGTAAAGGGATTGACTTTGTCCTCGCCAGTTGTTCTAATGCAGTTTTAAATGGCTTAAGAGAATACGATTACTTTAAAACTACCAGACAAACCTTTACCTTCAACAGTGTCCATGACGCTGTTTTATACGTCTTGCAGCAAACCACAGAGCAAAGTCACACGCTGCAAGGATCTGAGTGTATTCTTGAGACAAATGGTGAAGACATACTAACTGAGTATGACACAGAAGATGAAATCAAAATTGACGTTAATTCCACAAATGGTGAAGTGTGGCAAAGGGAGAAGAACCAGAGGTACTCTGATCAGAGTTTGCCCTGGGTAGCTGGAAATCAGAGAATTATAGAATATGAGACAACTTTATAATGAAAATATTTGTTTTGAACCATAACTGAAACTGGATTGATACAGTAACCTAAATCAGCTGTTGTGTTTCTGCTGCAATATGCTGTTAAGTTTTTCTATTGCATTGTTTGTAATAATAGACAAAGAATTATAGGCTTTTCTGGAAAAACTATATTTGTAGTGTATACATTAAAAACTATTTTCTCTGTAGTCTTGTCACTGCAAAGTAACCAGATCTAGACAACACTGGAATAGGAAAGGAGAAAAGCAAAGCCACTAGTTGTTTGCAGACGTTCATACTTTGCATCTACTTTACTGACAACGTTCTGTTGTTACCAATTATTTTTGTTGAATTTTCTGCATCATCGGCAACATTATCCGTAAGATATGGGAGTGATGAGGTGTGTACTGCCCTTGGAAATAGGCAGATTTGGACCTTGTCCAGCCATTCGTGCTCCAGAAGGTATGAAGCTTAGTTATTTATACATAGTCTGGAGATCAAGGACCACTAATCCCCTGCAATCTCCTGTGTTCCCGGTGGGAAAGAATTGGGCTCCAATTGTCATCTCCAAAATCATTGCCACTAGTGCAAGGGTTTTATACATGTAATATATTTCCTGCTGCTACTCTGCCTTCATAAAATAATATGAATGCATCATTTACATATTCTTCTTCTTCATTGTTTTCCATTTTTATCCGTGTAGGCCATCTTTACAAGTTCTTGCACATCTTAAACTCATTTACAATTTACAGAATTTACAACTTGCCAAGACTGTTCACTTATTTGTTTCAACCATCCAGTTGGTTTGCCTCAGAATTGGTACTGGTAATTTCCAATCAAGGAGAGTTTGATGTTAACTGGAATTGTGTGTCAGCTGAGGTTCAGTGTTCATTTAACAATGATGGTAGTTCTGAGAAACTGAACATCGACTCCATTGACCTGAAAGTCCACTTCGTCTGATGACTATTTTGTGTTAAAATTAAAGATGGCACAGAATTGTGGAAACAATTTCAATTCAGTCTCAATTTGAATTTTTTGTTTTTTAAAAAAAAAGAAAATTGGCTTCCAAATTAAGAATTTTTCACAATTCTACACAGACCTGAATTTTTATGACAAGTCGGACTTAACAGGCTCAAGGTATGTGGAATTTCAGGCCTTCGCTTGACTCATTGGTACTCTTGCCTCCGAGTCAGAATGTTGTGGGTTCAAATCCCAGTTGGGACTTGAACTCACATAGTCTAAGATAACACTCCAATGCAGTGCTGGGGGGTATTGCATTGTTGGAGGTGCTGTCCTTCAGATGAGACGTTAAACCGAGGTGGATCTTAAAGAACCCATGGCACTATTTGAAAAGAGAAGGGAATTTCTCTCTTACGGTGTCCTGGCCAACAATCCCCCTTAATAAAATTGGTCACTCACTCCACGGTTGTTTGTGGGATTATTGCTGTGCACAATTCTGCTGCCACATTTACCTGCAAATACACAGTCACTCCACTTCACAGTAAATCCTGTGAAAAGCTTTGAGACATCCTTCCGACGTGATAAGGCGCTATACCAAATGCAAGGATTATTATTATAGTTCTAAAAACCTGATCCCTGTAATGGAAGCTTCTCTTTGATGTAAAACAACATGTTTTGTTGCACAATTACAATGCGACTGATCACAATAATGTTGAAAGTGTTTTAAATGCAGGAAACGTGCATTAGAATGGTTAAAAATAAAATTGTCCACAAATTGTTACAAATGAAATGGAGCAAAATGCATCAAATTCACCGGTCACATATTTAGCTAACAAAAATTATCCAATCTATCTGCAAAATGCTTTACAATGTGCAAATAATTCCAATGGGAGAGGCAACATCTGGATCCTGTCATTGATTTTTGGAGTAAAGCGCATACAACTGCTTCATTTTTACACTTGGGAAATAAACAGAAAATTAGTGACTGCTCTTTAATCTCACATGGCTCTATCATTGAATGTAGCGTGATAATGAAATTGAGCAAATGGGCAGAATTCATTATGGCAGTCCTTTGGCCATTTTTTGGTTCAGCACCACAGCGCAACACAGTCTCACATACTTCCAGGTGGTAATTCACCTCACTTGGGTTTTTGTTAAAATAATTTTTATGCAGTGAAACTCCACTGGCCCAAGAATGAGCTCTTGGACAGACACGTGGTTCACATTCACCTCAGTAGGAATTTCACATTATACAAAATTGTTACCATAACTTTTGAATTGAATGTTTCACAGGCCTGCAAGACTTCTTAATAGATCAATACTTATAATAAGATATGAATGTAAAAAGTAATAATTCTTGCATTTGATATAGCGCTTTTCACGTCTTCTGGACGTCTCAAAGCGCTTCACAGAATAGACTATAAAGTGAATTTACTGTATATTTTTGGGAGAAAGATATGAATTTATCATTCACAGGTATACCAAGCATTCTAGAATTAACTTAGAACATGTCTCACTGCTGAGGCTGTAAAGTACAATACATTCCAGCCATGTGCTACCGTAGATTATCGTGATTTACCTGTGTGTGTCTTCTGATCAGAGCCATACAAAGCACATGGAAACCTGGCTCTGATTCTGGGCCATTCTGAGAAAAATAGAAGATTATAATATTGTGCTACTGCACTCTCCAAACAATAAACATCATTATCCCCACCTCTGCATTTTTGTTAATAATTGGTAACAAGTGTCTGCTTGCAGCTCTTTTCTTGCATATTCCTGACTGTTCAGTGGGTCAAAGGGTCGTGCTACTTAGAGAATTTGAAGACTTCAGTCAGATTGGATCTCTGGTCTGTGGTGAGTTAATTGATCTCACGGGACACGAGTGGGTGGGTTACAAATTAGCTTGTGTTTTCCGATGCCCGAGATGTGAGCATAATGAGCGAGGAATTTTGCTTCTGACTCTTATCCAAAGAGCCCTTTCAAGAAAAGGCATGTTGGTGTCAAGCAATAAGAATATCAGGCTTGGCTGTGATGGCCTCCACCCCCACTGACCATCTTCACACAGTCACACAGTCACACAGAGATAGATCACACAGAGACAGATCTCTGTCCAGATGGCATATACGGTTTGCTACTTGGCGAGATGCAAAAAGAGAATCATTGCTACCTGTAGGGATACGCACCAACCTAGGTTTTATAATAATAATAATAATAAAGTTGTCATCTTCAAGACAGGAAAGGCAGGTGGTGTGGCAGGGAAGACACGCCATTGTGAAAATACAATGTAAAATGCAACAAAAGAAAATTACATTTTTTGCACATGTCTTTTTTTAAATAAAAAGTGTATTTGGTGAAATGGGAACGATTCCTAAGCAGTAGCTGAAACTCCGAAACTTTCTCCAGCTACGTTAACCCCTTCTCCTCCACCCACCAATAAAAAAATATAAAAATGATTGAAGGTGAAACCAGCTTTCAATGAGCAATTCTATTTTACATCTAATCTTCAGTGTGCGCGTGAAGCCAGAGCCATTCCTTTGGTACACCCACGGTTACACATAATTCTGGTGCAGTAAAGCAAACCGAGATTGTAGTTTGATTCCTTTCAATCTGTGAAATCTCTCGAATCCTTCCTGTGCTTTAACTGTTGGGTTGAGCCTGACTTTTAACTGGAACCACAATCAAACTCAAAAGCAATTCAGCATTAATTTTGGCTCCCATACTTAATGCTGGCATAAAACGCCCCTATTGAGTTCCATGCCTATTAAAGTATTAAATAATCAAAGCGCAGGAGTGCACAAGTTGATGTATTTAACTACTGTACTCGAATTGCATAATAATCTGTAGATCATTGCTCTACAATTTATTCGTTCGAGAGGCAACCCTTCCTTGTTCTGGAAAATGCAGTCTGCCATTGCCAGTAAATATTGTACCAATGAAAAAACAAACGTATCTAAGAATTTCCCTTCACGTCGAGGGAAAATCATGATGCATCAAATTTTCAGTTTATTTCACAATTCCTGTACATGAATAGGGTTGAATTTAGAATAGAGACATCTGGCGGACATTAAAGCCACAAAGACAGAGTTTTACTATCCGAGTTCGATGGAGTCGAAATCCCATCGATGGGGATTGTTACAAATGCCCATCTTTTCGCTGCTGCTTTAGAATGGGAAACTGCAGTAAATGGAGTAACAGAGAACAAATGAATACAAATAGCCTTCTGCATCACCGTTACTTTTCATCCGTCACTGATATTGTCATGTATTTTGCTAAGGACCTTGTTGATGTACCACCCCTCCCCCAATTGATAAGTTCATTACATGTCGTTGGAAAAACCAACACACACATTTTCAGACCAGCCAAACACAGTTATGCCATTGAAACATAACTTTTAATCCAGAGACCGTTAATTTTATGTGAAATCTTACCATCACAGACAACAATCCCCCATATAAAACTGGTCATTCGGTGCACAAGTTCTTTGCTCGGTTCACTTGACAGACAGACCGACCGACCGACCGACCAGCAAGGTACATTTCATAGCAAAAATCCTGTGAAGCACTTTGGGGGACGTTTCAATGACGCGATAAAGCACCTCAGTACATCAAACGCACGTGGATGATTATTTCTATCGCAATTACTAAGGCGATCGCCTCCAAAAAAAAAAGCCAAATGAATAAGCCGGTCAAGAAAATTGAAGGGTCATCCAATATCTATCGTGTTCCTTCTGGGAGCCTTGTTAATTTACGGGATAACTACCCGCATCCCGCAGACGCAGGGCATTCCAGAGACCTGGCAAACTGGTGTGTTTGCAGTGAGAATAGCATGACCAGTGAGTAAATATTTTCCCAGTCGTGGACTGCTGTTCCTGATCACAGAGTTCTTCAGCTGCACTCTCTGTCCAGAACAAATTGTCCCTGCTCCAATATACGCCAGAGCTTCAGACTGCAAACCACTGCAATCCAAAAAACAAAACCCAAGGGGACTTGGTCAAATAAGGACTGGGTGCAACTGAAGGAAACACCAGAGCTAATGATGTGTGTGTGTGGCATAATCAATAAAGATGCACCATCAACAACTTGACATTTCCTGGGGAAAGAAAGTAAAGCTGGATATGTCAGCAACGTGCAAACCCTGCAGTTTTCAATGAACTTGGACGTCATTTGCATTTGAATCACAGACTTTTGTGACATTGGGAGGGGAGGTTTTGTTGTCCTGCAACCAGAGCCCTGGGATAAGTCTGCTGCTGGGTTTTAAAAGCAGTGAAGTGTTCAATGATTTACTCCCACTGTTACAATACTCCACGAGTTCAGCACACAAACGACTCTCACTTTAAACGTGAAAGGGTCGAGTTGGGTGAGTGCTGATCCATTCCTCTTTCAGGTTAATCGTTTTAGCGTTGGTTAAAAATAATAATGATTAATAATAATAACAATAATTGCAGCCCTACAAACAATACCTGCAATAGCACTGGCTTTCCTGATCCACACTGATCGTTTGCAACTCGAATAAGGAAATAACACGTCGAATTAGATTGGTTTAACTAAGATGTTTAAAATAAAGAATTGTCCTTTGTGCACTAAATGACATGGCAAGGAGTATCTTAAAACACAGATTTATATAAATAAAACAATGATTCAAGTGCTGGTATTTAATAATAAATAATCCTTGCATTTGATAGAGGCACAATAAGTTATTATTAGAAGCAGAAAGTGGCTGTCAATTCACAAGCCTCTGATTTACTGCCAATACCTTGTAACAGCTTTAAATCTTGTAAGTGGATCCAGGCTTGGGTATTACGAAATTATCTGCGTGTCATTTTTCCAAATGTCTTTATTTCAAATTTATCGCAATCAAACTCTTTATTCCCCCTTAGGAACAGAGGCGAGATTCGGATTTATTTGATCTATTTGGAATATATGCTCGTTGGGTTGTGCACCTTCTCCCCCTCCCGATAGAACAACAACAGATTACATTTGTATTGCGCCATTCACGTCGGGACATAGTCAAGGATCCGCACCCGAGCTGGTGGTTGGGATCAGGAGGGGTGGAGGGCAAGGAGATTAGGGGTAGGAGGGGTGACCGAAAGCACGGTCGAAGAAGAGGGTCTTGAGACCGGTCTTGAAGGAGGCAAGGAACTTTTAATCATTTAAAACTCACTCCTGTTACCCAATGCATATGAGTTCTTTTTAACATACAAATGGTCATTCAGTTGACTGCAAAAACTGAAGCTTATTGTGATCTGTTTCTGCTTGTGCTTTTAGACCAAGAATGCTGCCTTCCTACGTACCTCAGTCCATTTCAGATGGCTTTGCTGAGGATTGCTGGGAGTGGGACATTAATGCAAAGTCACCAGCAGCGCAACTTTCTCCTTGTCGGAGAGCAGTTTACTTTCACATCGACCCTGTCTTAAAAAGTGTAGGTACAGCAGGAGTGAGAGGAACAAAAGGTGGTTATTCCTTAAAACTTTCATTGTGTTCATTTTCTTGCGAGATATTCTAGTATCATCTGTGACAAATTGAGACGCTTCGTAATATATCACATCATGTTCTAGAATGTGAAAGGACACTAAGATATCCACTGCACCATTCACTTCTCCAGTTGATGTATTTTCTATAATAAATAATAATCCTTGCATTTGATATTGCACCTTATCACGTCTTCGAGACGTCTCAAAGCGCTTCACAGGACACCCTGTAAAGTGAATTGACTGTATATTTTGTGGGTGATTTTAGAGATTTTATTTAATGAATCTAGCATTGTCCTTGGGTAACATTTGACCCGTTCTGGTATTAAGTGCAATTCACTGACAAGTTTTATGATCTATGCCTCTTTGCTGTGGTTTCGGATTACTTTATCCAATATTCTCACCAGCCCTGCCGTCCAATGATTCACATCCATTCTTCTGATCAAATCATTTTGCAGCTCACTACAGATATTATTGCAGCAGGGTTCCTTAGCCGCTATACTTTACTGTGTCCTGTGAAGCGCTTCAAGGCATCCTCTTGATGTGAAAGATGCTGTAACAAATGCAAGGATTATTATTATCAACATTATTATATATCCATTGCTTCTACCCTTACTGCACTAATCATCTCCAGATTATGCTTCATCGGTTCTTTCTAATCATGTTTTCTCACCAACTTTTTCCTAACCGTTTTGTCTCGCCTCCCACTTTAGTCATGTTCGTGGTAACTCTCCTTGCTCTGATCTGTGGCAGCTTCAAGGCAGGAATCATCGGCAGTAGTTGGGAATCGTTAAGACCTGATGATCCATTTTCATTTGGTCAAATCAGACTTGATGCACACAAACATATACCTTCAACTGGGTTGGAGGATTCATAACAAATGCTTTGACAACAGCTTAAATACAAATTTGGAGGCTGATTTGCAAAAAAAAAGTTAAATTTGGCTGCTATTTTGCAGTCGTGGCCCCTTCTTTAGCATCTGTTTATTTAGGGGATTCTCGTGACCCAGTTAATGAACTCAGTACTGAATAGTGCAGTTCTCATAGTGTTCAAGCACAGAGATGTATCCTAACTGTAGCTCTGTTGTAACGGAAATGCCAATAATTGTGGCCTTTTAACATTGTTGTACAGATGTAAGGAAACACACTCTTATATTCACAGTTGTTCTGTTTCTGTAGGTTTCAACCACGGGGAGCACTACTGGGAAATTGAGTTTCTGGAACCTCCCTATGGCACCTCTGTGATGGTGGGGGCTGGAACAAGACGAGCACTTCTGCATACTGGCAATTATCAATTTATAAATATGCTCGGTAAGTCACTTTTAATATAATCGAGAAGAATTTTGCATGGGTCTGTCTTACATTGTGTGGTATATAACTTGGTCTTGTGGGTGCCAGACTAGTTGAGGTTAGCATATTTGCAAAGAACGTTCTTGCCTCGGATCGTGATCAATTTTGCTTTAGAATTTCATCAAAACCCCTTTTTTGATTTAATTGCGCCCAATGTGCCCTGAGATGCATCCTTTACTGTTCTGGGGTTTTGTGTGCATTACCCGTCAGCACACAGTAACCAGATGTCAGCACAAATTTCTGCATTCCACATTCATGTTCTACAGTTCACAGTAGTGTTCCTCATAGTCAAGAGGATCTATAACAGATCACACCACGCTTTAGTGTCTTATTCAATTTTGTTTCTATGTGGGGTCGTGCTTTGCATCCCAAGAGAGTTACAGAGCTCTGATTTTAAAATAAATCTGCAAAATACAGCTTCCCCACATTGACAGACTTGGAAACTGCTGTCTGAGGAATATCCTTTCTTACAGGGTGCATTTTTATAGCAGTGTCAGTAATTTCTTCTGGTGTTGGTGGGGCCAAGATGGTACTGCATCTCACTCACAGATGCAGTTAAGGGACTCATTGTGTTCCAGTTATTATTAGGTAATGGAGATTATTATTTTGAGCCGTCGGTGTGAGATAGATACCCAAAGTCCAAAAACAGGAAACAATGAGCTAAATTAAAAGGTTATTTCCTTCCTTCCTTCCCACAGGAATGGATTCTGAAAGCTGGGGTTTATCTTACAAAGGTACAATTTGGCATGACGGGCAGAGCAGGCAGTATACTGAACCGTTCTATGAGCAAGCCACAATCATAGGAATCAACTTGAACCTGTACACTGGCACAATGACCTTTTACAGGAATGGACAGAATTTGGGGGTGGCATTTTCTGGCCTCAATAAGGTAACCCATGCTGATTGCCAATTTTGTGCACTTATTGTCTTGTGGGATGCAGCGATAAATACAGAGTGCTCCATTTATATCAAACAGAAAGCATGAATGCATTTAAGAAGAAACTTAATGCACACATGAGGGAGAAAGGATCAGAGGGGTATTATGATATAATAACTATAGTATAATAATATACGCATTTGATATCTTCCTGGAATGAAGGATGTAATAATAACCCTTACATTTGGTATAATGCCTTTCACATCAGGAGGATGTCCCAAAACATTTAACAGGTTTTAATTTACTGTAAAGTGTAGTGATTGTGCATTTTGTAGGTAAACCTAGAAATATTCAGAATAGTTTCATTCAACAGGCAACAATGGTGGATGGTGTGGGAAATGTGAAATAATAGTAATAGTTGTGTTAACAGTAGGACCTCTGATGTGGATAAGAGTAGAGTAAAATTTACTCTGCATTTGACCATGCTTAATGCTTTCTCTGAGTGCAAAGAGATGAAAAGGTGTTAATTTTCTAGCACTGGTCAGTGACCCAACATTCACAAAAGAATAAGGATAGTAATACAATACATTCATCTGGGTTGAAAATAAGATGGCTAGAAAGTTAAGTTGCCAGCACAAACACCCATCCATTATCTATAATTAGGCTATATGATCAAATAAAACATAGCCAATACTGAGATACTTTGATGAGTGGGATAGTTTTATCTTTTGACTGCAGATTATAATGCAGGTATTTTAATGACCAGGATTTAGCCTATCATTAACAGTAGTTTCCTATTGAATCTTCCCCAGGTTGGAGCATCCCTGTATCCCATTGCCAGTTCAACAGCAGCCGAGACAGAACTTCAGCTTGGGGTCAGGGGATGCCGCTTCCACTCACTACAGGAATGGTGTTTGTACACAGTCCTGCAGAACCTCAGGGACAAAAATCACATAAACGCTCTACCACTCCCCGAGCTAATTAAAGGACTACTCAAGGAATTCTGAAACAGGCAGAAGAGAAAGTGATGCGCCAAGTAATTATAATACTACAGGATTGAATTGGCACAATCATGGTGCTATTGTTCCATAAAGATGTTAATGAAGTCTACTTTAGTATTTCCATGACAATGTGGCATGGTTTCAGGATGGTGTTGTGGCCTGTATAAAACAAACTAAGATGATTGTCTTTGTACTTGGACTAAGCCCAGAAATTCAGAGAAGAATTCAGAATTTGGAGAGATTTGATTAATAACTGAACAAAGCTGTTCATTACTAGAACTGATGACACTGATGCTTTGAGGTGCATCCAAAGCCAAGTTACAATTGCTCAGAGCAGTGTTAGTCACTAATTGTCTCTTTGAGGGGCACAATTCTAAGCAGCGTATTGCTCAAGGACCACACTGAGCAGTGCTCTAACAGCCTGTTCCCCAGTTCCTCAGTCGGAACTGATTTTAATCATCCCACCACATGCTAAGAAAACTACAAGTCCTATAGGATTAATGGATCACTTTTTAACTTACCATAAGGAGGTTGGGATCAAGCTTGCCTCTTAATAGAATGTTGCTTACTTTCTCTTTGTGGCAAAGAATAAGAGGGAACAGTATTATATCCAGCTTTGGCAAAGTGTTACAAGCAGGATATGAATATGCCCAGACAAACATGGGCTGACAGGCGTGCCAATGTGAAGAGGATGGATTCCCAGACTGAATTTGTGTCCTACCAGTGTACAGTGTGCTGAAATGTATAGGACATCATGTTCTTAACATTTCAAAATATTTGAGGATAGCTAAAGGAAAATTCGAGGCTGCAAGTACAGAGCCTAAGAATTTCACCTGAGGTTAGATGTTCTGATTAACCCGTTGAATCATGAAATTGCCATGAACAGAGACCACAGAAATAACTAGAGAGTTAAACTCAGTGAAGTTGAGCAGTGCTTTCATCACGTCCAGGCTTGACTATGCTAAAGTGTTGTTTGCTCAATTCTTCCCTTCACAAGTTGCAGACCTCTCTTGCACCACTCTCCGAGCCCCTCTGACTTGCTTCTGCCTTTTCCTCATTCGAGGCCCATCTCAAGACGTGTGTTGAGTATTGGAGACGGCCCTGATGTGAAGGACACCATATGAATGTAAATTGCATTGTTACAGTAATTAACTGTTATAGGCCTTAGCTTGGCTCAGTTGGTGGTCAGCAAGGTTGTGTGTTCAAGCACCAAGCCTTGAACTTTAAGGTCCAAACTAACCTGGTAAACAATTATTGAAATATTATGAATTGCGAAGAACTAAATACTTTGACCAAAAATATGTGAGTAAATTCCAGCGATTGCAGTATCTGTGATCTGCAAATGGGAAGGAAAAAGATGTTTTCAGTTTGAGTGAACGAGGGATGCCAACTCTTGGAAGGTTGGCACATTGAGATTGTAGCACCGTGCAAAACCAGATGTGTGAGAATGCTGTACAATACATATGGAATGGGTTAGTTTTTCTTAACTGGTATCTTGAAGGGGAAATCATAATGTTTGTATGATACAATACGTGCAATGTTAAGTGTCTGCATCTCTGTCTCATCCCCACCACAGCCTAAATTCCCATCCATACCTTTGCCAATTCCAATCGTGATTTCTCTAAAACTCTGCTTGCCGACTTTCCTAGCTAAATCTTCCACAAGATCCATATTACCTCGAACTCCTTTCCTACACCAGGCACCTTAAGCCCTTGACCTCCATCCTCACCAGGCTCCACTGGCTCCCCATTGCCCGGCAGATAAGACTTCAAAATACTTTTTTTTACTTTTGCGTGCCTCCACCACCTTGCATTTTTAAGTTCCTGCAGCCCTAATCTCTCACCCACTTCCTCCACTCTGCTAATTGGAGCCTGCATTACAGGCTAAAACCCTACCTCTTCGATGTGCCTTCAGCCAACTTCCCTTCTACCATCCTGCTTGGATCCTGACCGTGAAATGCTTTGAGGCATTTTACTATGTGAAAGGTGCTATATAAGTGCAAGTCGTTGTAGCATCTGCGAAAACAGATTTTTGTCACATACTGCTATATTTATAATAATAATAATAATAATCCTTGCATTTGATATAGCGCTTTTCACGTCGGGAGGACGTCCCAAAGTGCTTCACAGAACACACTGTAAAGTGAATTGACTGTATATTTGTGGGCGAACGCGGCAGCCAATTGCGCACAGCAATGTCCCACAAACAGTCATGGATTGAAAATGACCAATTTATTATTGTTTTGTTTTGGAGGGATTATTATTAGGCTCTGTGTGGAGTAAGGAAACTTGCCCAAGGTTTCGCCCTCTGCCTGGAATTGAACTCAGGTCTCTCACTTGCAAAGCGAGTGCTCTAACCACTGAGCTACAGGACTCCATTTGTACAAGTATTCCAATAAAATGAGTGCTATGCTAGTATTCAATGTTACAGTGTGAATTTCCTGGCACTTTAAAGTGATATTTCAGGTGGGAGAATAATGAGCTGCTTCCCTCACCTTGTGCACCCTATAAAGAAAACATTACCGAATGTAATTTGAACGCTGTAGTCATTGCGTTAGAACTAGTCTTAACAGGGGTAACGTACGTCAAGTGTTTGCAAGAGTGGAACCTGTCTGTACCTCTCAGTACATTTAAAAACACAAAATCTAAACAATAAAACTCATTCAATGTCTGTCTCTGTAGGTTTGGTCATTATAACAGGACATTGCCGTTTTAGGGGAGAATGCGAACGTTCTGACGGAACGTGTTTTAGAGAGCGCTTTCCGGGACACACAGTTTCAATCAATTTACTTAACGCAACCCACGGCTGCCTCGCGGGGGTCGCCGTGCAGATTGGCCGCCCCGCAAAACACAGTCAGTTCACTTTACGGTGCATCCTGCCTGGAACACGAGGATAATTATTATTATTATTACTAATAATGACTATTATTTTTATTAACCAATGTGTGTGTGTGTGGGGGGTGTGTGGGGGGGTGTTGTGTGGGGGAGGGGGAGCGGGGGTGGGCGGTTTGCGAGCCATTCGCAGCTTCAAACCCGAGGAGGAGCGACGTTTATTGAGGGTGAAAGGCGGGTAATGGGTCTGACAGAGCGGCCCGAGGGGCTGAATGGCCTCCTCCCGCTCCCGGCGCGGTTGGGCCTTCGGGCTCGTCGCCACCTGCGGGCCGGCGACCACTGCGCATGCTCCGAGGGCGGGTCCCGTGGTCTTCCGCCGGAAGTGAGCGACAGGAAGCGGAAGTGGCGGGGGCGGGCGGCCCGGCCATGGCGGGGGTCCTCGCTCGCGTCGTCTTCTACCCGACTCTCCTGTACAATGTTCTCATGTCCAAGTTGTACGGCCGCCACTGGTACGACCGGATCGACGAGACGGTGATTCTGGGCGCTCTGCCCTTCCGCTCCCTCACCCAGGAGGTAAGGAGCGAAGCTGAGCGTCTCCCCGACCCCCCCCACACACACACACACACACTCCACACACAGGTCACTCCCCCCCCCCCACACACACCCAGGTCACCCCCCCACACACACACTCACACTCCCCTCCCCCCCCCACACACACACACAGTCACTCCCCACACACACACACACAGGTCACTCCCCCCCCCCACACACACACACACAGGTCACTCCCCACACACACACACAGGTCACTCCCCCACACACACACACTCCCACACACAGGTCACTCCCCCCCCTCCCCCCCCCACACACACACACACAGGTCACTCCCCCACACACACACACACAGGTCACTCCCCCCCCCCCCCCACCACACACACACACACACACAGGTCACTCCCCACACACACACACAGGTCACTCCCCACACACACACACTCCCCACACAGGTCACTCCCCACACACACACCCAGGTCACTCCCCCCCCCCACACACACACACTCCCCCACACACTCACACACACCCAGGTCACTCCCCCCCCCCACACACACCACCCCACACACTCACACACACACAGGTCACTCTCCCCCCCACACACACACACACACACAGGTCACCCTCCCGACACACACACACACACACTCCCCCCCCACACACACACTCTCCCCCCCCACACACACACACCCAGGTCACCCCCCCACACACACCCTCACACTCCCTCCCCCCCCACACTCACACAGGTCACTCTTCTCCCCCCCACACACACCCAGTCACCCCCCACACACACCTCACACCCTCCCCCCCACACACTCACACAGGTCACTCTTCCCCCCCCCCACACACACAGGTCACTCCCCCCTCACACTCCTCCCCCCCCCACACACCACTCCCCCCCCCACACACACTCAACACACACAGGTCACTCTCCCCCTCGAATAGCACCTGATCTTGACAATCAGCTTTTGGAATTTAGACAAAGTGGATATTTCTAAAGCAAGTGAAGAAGAGTTGATTGGAGAAGTTTGTTTAATTTTATAACTTTAAAAGACCCTCCAGAAAACTCTAATTGAAATATTAGCCACAGTAAACCCATCGGCTTTGTGATTTTATGGTAGTTGCAGAGTTTTCAAGGCAATTTGTGAAAACCTGTCTTAATAATTATGATGATAGAAGCAATCACCTGGACTTGATTCAAAGCAGTTGCTGCTTTTGCTTTCCATGTGCACCACCAGCTGTGGGGAAGGAGTCCCATTAGACTCCCAGCAGCAGTATGTACATGTCTATCGTTTTATGGAATCTGATCTTCTCTGAATAAAAAGGTTTTCTAGGGTTTCACATCACTGCTAATTAATGTTAATTCCTGTCCTGCTTTGCTTTCAGCTGCACCTTTGGAGTCCAGAGAAGGCCTGCGATTATATTGCTTCTATCCGACCTCACATCATTGTTCACCGTGGCCAATTTAAAGTTTTGAATCATTACTATGAAGAACTGTGTTTACTGGATTCTTGCAGAAGCACACCATAGACCAAACCGAGAAGCTTTAAGCGGTGATGTCCTTAACATTAACATTGCTGGGCATGATTTCACTGCTTATACTATCCAGTTGGAACTGGATTGAATCCTACATTTTCAGCACTAACTTTTGGCACTGATCAATTTGTTCCCTCTTTTTGTATGTTTCTAAATTCCTTATTGTCCATCGATGGCAAGAATGGTTTTAAAGTTGGTTTTATTTGGAAATTGGACCATTTTGAACTTTTAGTTTGTTGAACTGTTTTCGCTGTTCATGAAGATAAGTTGGCAAAGCCACATTTAACATTTCAAAGTGTTTTATTTATGTAATTTTGTTAAAATCTCAATTTGTGGGGATTTAGCACTGAAACAAATTGCATTGTTTGCTTATTGTATTGTTCACTTTGGTAAGACAACACAATTTTAACTGTATACAACTCTTGAGAAATTCGACCTGGATATAAATTTACTCTCTAGCATTATAGAGTGACCAGAATTTGGCAAATTCAAATTCATACAGCCTTCATTTTCAGGCTCATTATCTGTAAGTTCTTTTAAGAACTGCAGAAAACCTGCATAGAGTTGAAGTTAAGATGGGCACACTGCACATGAAATGTTGCATAAATAGGGTCAATGTGCTTCCATTAGATGTCACTGCGGCACTGTCGATGCTGAACTGCAGAATAAGAAACATCTAGCGTCATTGAAAGGTATTGCCCATTTTTTCAGATCGTTAATTGAATTGATTTGGCACTTCCACCAACTAGAAAATAGCTCGTCCAGTTTTAAAACTACTTTATGCTGTTGCAGATGCGTGAAGCACTTTGAGACACTCTCGCTGTGAAAATTGGTATATAAATGTTGTTGTTGACTCAGGTGTTGAAGACTATTGGCGTAATGAAGAACACATGTTTGTAAAAAAAAGTTAAATGTTTTAACATTAATATAAATAAACATAATTGGAAATTTGCATTTGCAGAGCAACTTATTAGTTTAATGAAGCTTGGCTTTTATCAGTCTGTACCTACTTTATTCATTCTAAGCATGTATAAGTAGCAGCAATTTTGAAAGCGCTTTGACATCTGTCACCTCAGTAAATATTTAGGAGGATGCTTTGAAACATTTAACCACTCACTTTATTTCAAATATTTATGCACAATGTTATCGAAACTCAATTAACTAAGAGAGAGTTAGTTTATCTTGCGTTACTGGGTAATGAGATAAGGTAGTGATTTAATTCCTTCAAAACCGATCTCAGCAAACAGTTAAAACGACAGACTTCAAATATTCATCATTTCAATTTGTAGCCCTTTCATTTGTGCAAGTTTTGAGCAGCCACCTAAGACATGACCCATAGGGATTTTCAGTAAAGATAGATTTTTAGAAAGCAAGTGATAACCACAGCAGTTTTCATTGTATAAGCAGCCTGGCTAGCTACATAATGCAGTAAAAGCTCATACCGTCAGAAAATACACTATCCACACTTTACAGAAAAATCCTGTGAAGTGCTTTGAGATGTTTTGACCTGATAATACGCATAAAGCAAGGATTATTATTGTCAAACTTATTATCGTAGAGTAAGGGATCATCGTGCGGGTCTCGGCTCTTAAAAAGGGATGTGTGCCACTTATTTTTTTCGTTTGCATTTCTTCTTTCCCATACAATATAGCTAGTGTATAATTAAAATATATTTGTCAGTAGAAAATTAAATATAGCAAACAATATATACTTAAACCTTTGAATCATTACGGTACTATTTCACCACGAAAGAAATATTTCACACTACATTTAAAATGAAGATCTTTTCAAAAGCACAATGTAACTTGCTGGAAAAAAAAATTCAATTCCGTAAACAGTGAAACACTGTCTTTCTTTGACAAACTGTATATATAGGGGGGGCTCTAAATTTCATGTTATGCCAAGGCTACTTTCAGCAAATATCTCAATGAAATCAGGTCCAAACAATTAAGTATTGTAACAACAAATTTGTTATGAAGAGGACTTGTAGGACAGAACGCAAAAAAGTTTATCAGCTTAATGCTGTAAAAGTAAAGTTACATAGAATGTACTGTAAGACCACCGTTCAGAGAAGTACTCAGGTCTATTTCCTAGTTCTGCACAATCTCAAACAGATTAAGTGAAATGGTTTGGTAGCTAATATTTATTAAATGAATAAGGCAAATCAAAACAAAACAATAGAGCCTGGTTGATCGATTCTGATCTCTTTTCAAAAGCAATTTTCCTACAGCCGGTGAACAGAATATCAAGTAGCTTTGGTTCACTAATTCTTGTATTGGTCTGTGGTATAAAGCAAATGTCTGACCACTATCGATGCTTGGAAAAATAAGATAATACAATTATGGTGAGATACTGATTTAAACTGCCACATCTGACTTACAATTTTTCAACAATGCAATACTGTCCCACAACTTGTCAAAACATAATTCTATTCGGATTATTATTTTACTTTAATTTCATTTCCATTAGTTAAGGGTCAAGCCAAGACAAACTGCCAATTTGTCAACAGTATCTCAAATCCACTTATCACTGAAACC